GAAAAGCTTCGGCATGGGCGCCCCCGGCCCGTGCATCCTCATCGCGCCTCCTCGCTATCGGGTTCGATGGCACGCTCCCCGAGCCGTGGACCTGCCGCCCACGCGCCAGACCCGCGGATCGCATGGGCGATACATATATATATATATATATATATATATATAGAGATATAGATATGTGTGTATGTATGTACATGTATATATATATATGTATAAATATGAAAGAGCGTGTTCTACCGCTGCTGGCGGAACACCGGGGGGGGTCACTACCGGTTCGAACCCCTCCCCCCCCTCCGGAAAACCGGGTCACTACCAGTTCGAACCCCTCCCCCCCCTCCCCCAGTTCATCATGAAAAGGGGGGGGTCACTACTGGTTCGAACCCCCCCCCCTCGAAAACCGGGGAGGTCACTACCGGTTCGAACCCTCCCCCCCCCCCCCCCCAAAAACCGAGGGGGGGTGCGGACAGTGGTGGGGACGGTGGTGGTGGGGACAGTGGTGAGGGGACAGCGGGACAGTGGTGGGGACAGTGGGACAGTGGTGGGGACGGTAGTGGTGGGGACAGTGGTGAGGACAATGGTGGGAACAGTGGGGACAGTGGACAGTGGTGGGGACGGTGGTGGTGGGGACAGTGGTGTGGGGACAGTGGGAATGAGGTGGAAACAGTGGGACAGTGGAGTGTACAGTGGTGGTGGGGACAGTGGTGAAGGCGGTGGCGAGGACGGCGGTGGGACAATGGGACAGAGGTACAGTGGGGACAGTGGTGGGGACAGTGGGGACAGTGGTGGGAACAGTGGGACAGCTCAGTGGGACAGCGGAGGAGTCAGTGGGACAGTGGGGACAGTGGGGATAGTCGGGCAGTGGTTGGGGACGTGGAGAAAGTGGGGAGAGTGGAACCGTGGTGGGAACAGTGGTGGGGACAGTGGGGACAGTGCGACAGTGGTGGGGGCAGTGGTGGGGACAGTAGGGACGGTGGTGGAACCAGCGGGGACAGTGGTGGTGAGGACAGTGGGGCTGGGAACAACAGTGGGGAAAGTGATGCGGACGGTGGTAGGGACCGGGAGTCGTTTGCTGGCGGTGAGTGGGGGGGTGGGGAGGGGTTCGAACCGGCAGTGACCCCTCCTCCGGTTTTCAAAGGGGGGGGGAGGACGAACCGGTAGTGACCCCCTTGGTTTTCGAGG